TCCCAGGGGAGCCCTGGCATACACGGGGGTGGGGGGCAGAGTGGAGGGGACTTGCTGAGTGCAGTGAGGGGCCTGGCCCAGGTCCAGCTCAGGTGAGCAGTGGGAGGGCGCCCAGCATGGCGGAGAAAGCCGGGGACCCCACTGCCATTCTTTAGGTCATCTTCTCACTTTCCTGACAGTGACCTTCGATGCACAAAAGTTTTTAATTGTGATGAAGTCCAACTTAGCTATTTTTTCATGTGTTGCTCATGCTTTTGGTGTCAAATCTAAGAATCTGAGACCATGGGGATTTACCTCCTGGATTAGTCAGAGCTCTCCAGAGAAGCAGAACCAACACCCCTTGATGGGCCAGGAATACTCGTCAGAGGCGTCATTGCCCTGTGCGGGCTCAGAGTGGGGCCTGGCACGCAGCAAATGTACCATCTCCTTATAACATTTTATTTACAGGTGGGAAGGGGCTGAGCAGCGGGGGAGGCTGCAGAGACCCCGCCCCTAGTCACCCCCCACCTCCACCTCTGCTCTGAGCTCTCCCTAGGTGCCACTGTAGGGGTCCCTAGGTGCCACTGCAGGGGTCCCAGGACACCCACATCTTAAAGGCACGGTCCTGAAAGAGGGTAGTTCTAGGAATGTCAGCTGGGGGGGGTCTTTATTTGCACAAGTGCCTGTGACTCACCCCGTCTCACTCCAGCCTGGGGGCTGCCTCCCCACCCACCTGAAGTCCCCACCCTGCAGTCTCCCTGCTGGGCTCCCACCCCTACTTCAGTGTGCTCTGGGCCCTGGCGAGCCTCTCCCTCATGCTGGGGCGTCCCTGCACTGAACCCCCCACCCCACCCAGCACCCAGAACATTCCATGGTAGCTGCCTGTCTTCCCTACCTGTGCACCTCCCTCGTGGACATCGCAGTGTCCCTGGGGATGAGCACGGGGACACTCAATACATACTCGCTGGTCAATACAAGAAGGAGTGAGTCCTGGGCTCCACACTGGGCAGCAGTGGCCTCTGCCTGTCTGGCCCAGAGTGACTACCGTGGACAATGAGGGACGAGAGAGGGAGCCGTTGGCGGGGCTGGGCTNATTTCACTAACCATTAGTGATGCTGAGAATCTTTTCATTTGCTTGTTGGCCATTCATTCGTGTGTCTTCTCTGGAGAAATGTCTACTCGAGTCATTTGTCCATTTGAAGCAGGTTGTTTGTTTTATTCTTGTTAAGTTTTAGGAGTTCTCTACGTATTCTGGATATTAATCTTTTATCAGATATATGATTGGCAAATGTTTCTCCAATCTGTGAGTTGCCTTTTTACTCTGTTGATAATGTATTTTGAAACACAAAAGTTTGAAATTTTCACAAAGTCCAATTTATCTAATTTTTTCTTTTACTGCCTGTGCCTTCAGCGTCATATCCAAGAAATCATTGCCAAATGCAATGTCACGGAACTTTTGTCCTGTGTGTTCTTCTAAGAGTTTTATTGTTTTACATTTTACATTTAGGTCCTTGACAAATTTTGAGTTAATTTTTACATATGGTGTTTTAGGTAAGGGCCCATCTCTGTGTGTGTGTATCTTTTATCAGATTAAGGAAATTCCCTCTAGTCCTAAATTGCTAAGAAATGTTTTTCAAATTCTTTTTCTGTAACTTTCAAAATGATTCAGGTTTTCTTCCTCTTTTAAAAATTAGCATAGCAAGACATGATTTTATCTTCCAGTGTTAAACTATGCTCTGTATAATTTACCCCCCACAAGACATTACAGTTATTGTTTTGTACTGTCCACACTCATTTATATTACTCCACATCAGGTTCGTCAGTGTCTCCTGCATTTCCATCTGAGATTCTATTCTCTTGGCTGGAGAACGCCAATTAGTTTTTCTTTATGTGCAGGTCACTTATTACAAATTCTGTCAGCTTTCTGTTTCTGAATAATTCATTATTTCACCTTTATTTTGAAAGGATATTTTTGCTGGGTATAAAATTCTGGCTGGCAGCTATTTTTTCAGCACTTTAAATATGTATCATTTCATTGCCTGCTGGCTTCCGTTGTTGTTGTTTTTGAGAAGACAGCTGTCAATCATCCATTCTTTTCAAAGCAATCTGTCCTTTTTCTCTGGCTGCAAAGATTTTTTCTTTGTTTTCAGCAACTATATTCTGATGTACCCAGGTATGTTTTGTGTTCCTTTAGCTTGTAGTTTTCTTGAGCCTCCTGAATCTGTGAGCAGAGACTTTTCTTCAGTTTTGGAAAATTCTTGGCCATTATTCCTTTGAATATTGCTTCTACCCATTTCCTGAAATACCCCTGCCTTCTGATTCCAATTACATATGTCACACTTTTGAGTATGTCACATATGTCTCCTATGAGGACTATCCCCTAGCACTGGCCCTTCCCCACATCTGCTCTGAGTACCCTGTGCACCCCTGCTTGGCCTCAGCATCATCCATCATCATCTCCCAGTCAGACGCTCAGGATTGGGCAGGGGCTGTGGCCTCTGGGCCCAGGGTCACATCCTGCGCAGAACGCTCACAACTGAGTCTGGGCACCAGGGAAGCAGCCAGCAGCCATGTACCAAATGGACCACGGACTGGATCGAGCACCACGATCTCAGGACCCCAGGCTGTGGCTCACCCACCCCCAAGCCCACTGACTCTCCAAGACCACCATGCTGGGTCACTTTTCACTGAGTTCATGGCACCTGCGTCCTGACAGGGCTCTGTGCTCTCCCAGCTCACCAAAAAGACCGGGCAGTGGTGGAAGAAAGGTGGCCCAGGCAGTCTGTGCCTGAGGCTGTCCTGTGCTGGGAAGTCCCACTGAACCCAGGAAGGGCGTCACAGGGGTCCACAGAATCATTATTAACCAACAACCTGGGAAGGAGGCTTCCTGGAGACCAGGGCAGTGGCAGGAAAGACCTTGGAGTCCAAGGTCAGAGGACACACAGCCATAGCTTCCTGCTGCCCGTCTCTCCAGGAGACCACAGCTGGGTCCTGTCAGCTCAGAGAGGCCACCAGCAGTGAGGCCTCCACACCAGTTTAAAGTGAGGGTTTCAGGGGAGGCTCATGGTGTGGGGCGGGGGGTGCTGGAGGGCCTGTTGCTGAAGGGCCGAGGGACCCTCAGAGCAGGGAACGGTCACCCACGCCAGCTATCCCCAAGCCCACAGGACAGCACAGATAGGGCCATGGGTGCCAATGTCACCCAGGGACCACCAGAGGTGGGCAGGACCAGCCACAGTATTGGGGGGCAGCATTGGGCACTCAAGAGAGCTGAGGGCTTGACCCCCTAAACTAGTCAGAGAACAAGTAAAAGCTTCTGGAGAGGGTGTTGGGGGCACATGTGGGCAAGCACTAGCCCCACCCCGGGCAGACTGTGTGCCCCTGAGTACACCTGAAGTTACCCATTTCACAGCCTCTTCTGTGAAACAGGCCTCCTCTGTCCAGCAGGGCTACCAGCCAGGGCATTTACACTGAAGGTCTCCATGTTACTGGCCAAGAACAAAGAACTTGGTTGTGGGGAAGGGACGGCATGGGGCCTCAGAGGGGCTCCAATGTCACAAACCAGCAACTAAGACCAAGAGCAAGGTGCCAGCACCATTGGTTTCAGCAGAAGAGGCCCAGTAACTAACTACCTGCCCATCCTCATGGAAAGGAGGGCTGGGGCAAACACCGCTTCAGCACCCCTGCCCTCCGCTGCCCTGCCCTCCCCACGTTGCCCCTGCCCACCTCTCCCCTGCCCTCCCCACCTCTCCCCCTCCCCCAACCTCCTTCACCATCCCCACCTTATTTTCCGCAGTAACGTGTGGAAGGGCCGGAACAGCTCAGACATGTCTTCCGCCTTGCGGTCCAAGTTCAGAGGTCCGTCCGCATAGACCACGAGGCCACTGCATTCAAGACACAAAAGCCAGCCTGGTGTCAGGCCCTGCAGCCACCTGGGCAAGCCCAGACCACACCTGGGGTCTCTGCGGTCGCCTGGTGCTCCGCCCTGCCCATGCTTCACCTCATGATCGAATCTTAAGTTTAAACAGAAGCAATGAAAGTTGTTACCACACTATCCTGGTTTTAAGTTGATTAGCTATGGTCCTTCAAGGGACCATAAAACACTCATAAGCGCAGGTCTGGCTATGTCACCGCTGCCATCAGATTGACCAGCATCACGCTGAGTTGCTGAGACCTACCGCACCGCCAGGAAAATGGAAACGCTGGCTCGGGTTTAAACTGGGCTCCAGCGCAGAGGTTTGTGAGAGCTAGACCTGGAGCCACCAGCTCCAAATGCAAACGGAAGTGGGGAGTGGAAGCCTCTGAGCCCTGCCTGGCCCCTCACCACAGCCAGGCTTTCTGGGACCCATGGGGGTCAAGGACGAGCATCTCAGGGACACTTTGCACAGACAGGTGAGGCTCGGCACAGCGATGCTCTCCAGGCTGTCCTCCTCTACTCCCAGGGGACTCCCAGGCCTCTGGTCTCGTCACCCCTGTCCACCCGCTGAAGTCCAGTGGCTGCCCTGAGTCTAACTCACACTGGCCATAGCCTCTCCTGGCTCCTCGGCCAACAGCAGGCTGTGACAATCCATCCAGTCCCAGCCTGTCCCTGCCAGCTCCCTCCTGAACCCCGTGAGGGCCCCTACACGAGCTGTGTGCTTTGCGCTCCCCCTGCCTCTGCCCAGACCACCCCCCAGCCCATCTTCCCCTC